TTTTTTTTTTTTTTTTTTTTTTAACGATAGATTTCATTAAACGAAAACAAAAATACAAACAGCCAATTAGTTGAATTTAGGTGGGAGAACTATACAAAGTGTAGTCTAGAACCTACATAGCAACAACAACCAAAACACAACACACAAAAATAGAAAACAAACTATCACCAGAGGAGAAAGAAACTACCACAAGGGGAGAAGCTCCCAACCGGGAGAACCAAAAAAGAAAACACTAACTTACAACAAACAACACTACATCCAACAAAATAACACATAAACAGAAGTTAAACTAAGGAAAAATATGTTCCCTCATCTAGGGGTGAGCAAAACCGAGTCCAAACCGAAAAATCGAGCCAAAGCCAAAAAACCGAGTCGAACCGATGTATTCGGTGCGGTTTGGTGCGGTTTTAAAAAGTTCGGTTAAGATTCGGTTTGGTTTTCAGAAAACCGCAAAAAATTTGGTGCAGTTCGGTTTTGTGTCCGAAGGGTGCGATTTTAACCGATCCGCGCCGAATATCATATTGGGTGATTTTATTACATAATGGCAGTTGACGTGTTGTGATGAGAGTGAGACACGCGTTTCAGTTTTCAATTTGTACATACAATTATCAAATAACGAACATTACATAAACTGATAAACATTTAAAGGCCCGAGTGTCAACTTATTATCCTGTTGGGACCGGACACTCGGGTATTACCCTGTTGGGGCCTTTTGAGTGTTATAGTGTTTTTAGTGTTTTTGTGCGTTACGGTGTTTTGTGTGTTCGTGAGTTTTACCCTGTTGGGGTCGGCTCTAGGCGGTCTTCGACCTGTCCTCCCACTTTATTCAGTTGTTGGCTGTGTGTATTCAGCTGTTGGTTGTTTGTATTCAGCTGATGGTTGTACTTTTGCACATTTGTGCGTTTTATATATAATATCTCTATCGTTTTGGGGAAAAATAAATAAATAAATAAACATTTACAGATTTTAGGATTTACATTTAAAACTTAAAAATAATTTTTTTTTTCTATTCTTGCCCTAATTTGCACTTTTCACTCTCAATCGCATACTAGCATCTTGCTCTCACTCTCAACTCCTATCTTCTGTAGGCCGCAGCCGCAGCCGCATCTTGCTTTCACTCTCAACTCTCAAGTTCACCCTCCGGTCGTCCGGCGCTCTCAACCACGATCTCAGTCTCTCACCCGCCGGCGGTCGCTCGTCAATTTAGGTCAATCTCACTTAAAATGTTATGTTGTTGGATTTATGTAAGACTATTGAACTTATTATGATCCTATATTCCTATTGATGTTGTTGGACTTAATATGTTGTTTTGTTTTGTAATGGATTGTGATTGTTTTGATTTGTGTTTAGCATTTTATTTTTAAATTACTGTTGACCGAAAAACCGCACCGAACCGAACTGAACATATCGGTTCGGGTTGGTTCGATTTTCCTTTCTCTTACAGTGTGGTTCAGTTAAGAAATTCCACAATTTTGGTACCGAACCGCACCGATGCTCACCCATACCCCCACCGGAATGCCATCCCAGCGCCATCACGACCAAGCAAACATCAAAGCGCGACCCGCCAGGAAGAAGCCACAAGAACTTCTTCCTGGTTTGGATCCAAGCCGATCCACCACCACAGCCCCTCCACGCACACCGCCACCGCCGCCGGAGGTCCCGACCATCCCAACTCCAGGAGAGACTGGAAAAGGAAAAGACCAAGGTCAGACCACCCCCACGGACTTCCATGGACGCTCGGAGCGACCGCCAGTAACCGCGCCTGGCGCCCTCCGCCTTGAGCTCCCCCGCCATGGCGCTCGGTGGCAAGAACGCCATCCGCTTTAAAATCCATTTTTCTTCTACCTTCTTTGTTTTGTTTACTGTTGGTTTCTTACAGTGGTATCTAGAGCTTTGTGAGATCCTGAGAGTGAAAAAGAAATACAAAAAACCTAATGGCAGCAAAATCTAATTTTGCTCAAGTAGCCATCCCACGTTTTGATGGTCACTGTAACCGTTGGAGCATGTTGATGGAGAATCTTTTGCGTTCTAAGGAGTACTGGTCTATTTTTTAATTTGGTATTCGAGAGCCACCACAAAACATGGTTCTAATAGAAAACCAGAGAGCTGATTTGGAGGTTAGAAGCTGAAGGGCTTGAAGGCAAAAAATTATCTCTTCTAAACTATTAATAGTCCCTTCTTAGAAACCATTCTTTGTAAAGATACCTCTAAGAGCATTTGGGACTCGAGGAAGAACAAATATGAAGGTTCGACTAGAGTAAAGCGTGCACAACTTCAGGCTTTAAAAAAATATTTTGAAATGCTGAGAATGAAGGATGGAGAATCAGTCACCAGTTATTGTGCAAGAACCATGGAGATCAGCAACAAGATGAGATTCCACGGAGAGAAGATGAATGATATCATCATTGTGGGGAAAATCTTGTGCTCGTTATCTCCAAAGTTCAACTATGTTGTTTGTTTGATTGAAGAGTCGAATGACATAGATGAACTTACTCTTGAAGAACTTCAGAGCTCTCTCATATTCCATGAACAGAATATGAGTAAAAACAGTTCAACTGTGGAGGAGCAAGCTTTGAAGGCCTCTACTACTACTTATTCCAATGAGGGCGGAAGAGGACGAGGTGGGGGCAGATGAAGGGGAAGGAAAAGAGACCAACAATTTGATAAATCAAAGGTAAAGTGTTTTAACTGCCACAAATTTGGTCATTATCAATTGAGTGCTACACTGAGTTGCCTAACAAGAAGAATGAAATAGAGCAGTCGAATTTTGTGGAGGAACATGAAGTTGCCAGTGACAATAAAAGAAGAACCCGAAATCAAGAATCTACAAGAAACACCGACTCAAGATGAAGAATACCACCATAAAGTGGATGGAATATGGGGTTAGATTGTTCAAAGAGGCCCTATAAGGCTGGGCTAGCTCTATCAGATCCCTTTTAGGAGGGAAGGTCAGATCAACCGCCGCCTGGTCCCAGAAGAAGGGATAATAGCCCTTAGGGGGCTAGTCGAAATATTTTCCAACCTTGGGAATCCTAATTTCCTAAGGAAACTGGAGTTCGGACATATGGCGGAGGGAACTTGTTCGATCAGGAGTCCAAAAAAAGAGAGGGTTAAATTGAAGGGCTCAGCATACTCGGTGAGCGGCTGACCTAGAAAGGCAACTGCTCTTGAAGGGAGGCGGTTGAAGTATCAAAAGACATGGTGGCTTTTAAGTTCTGGTATCAAGAAGAAAAAAGAGTGGGGCTAGGGTTTTTTTAAGCATGGATAGTCGAAGAAGAAAGAAAAAGAATAAAAGTATAAGAGTTAGAGAGAAATCAGAACGTACCCAGGAAGCAAGAGAGTGATTGACGACGTTGCGAGATCACCGGAGATTCGGGAGCAGCGGGAAAGATTTTACGAGAGATCAGATTCAGTAAGAAAATAAACAGAGTAAGTTATAGGAGGGTGAATGTTGTAGTTTATTTTACCGGAGTAGAATCGAAAGATTCGAACACCGGGTCGTGTTCTCAAGGAAGGTTAGCCGGACTAAATCGTACGTGTATTCAATAACGAAAAAGGAAAATAAACCTCAGCATTCTAATTCAAATTGGTCGGTTTTGATTAACAACTACTAATTCTTGAAATAAAGCTATTTAATTATCGCACCTCACAAATGCAATACAAGAATATATAAACGGGCTAGAGTGTCGGGGATAATCGCTTCTGGTTCTACACATTTAACGGCAATCAACAACTCGGTTAAAAGGCTTGACTAATTAACTCATATAGCGGTTTAAACTCAATAACTTTTCGTAACATGCGAATAAACATAAACGAGGAAATTAATGAAACAATTAACACATAGACAATATGTCTCCGAACATGTCTACTCTAAACGAGCCAAGTTCCACCGATTTCTCTCCACTCGGTTCTAAAATCGATTAACTAGATTAAGATGGTGATCAAGAATCTAACCCTAGGATAAATACAAGTCACAAACATTGAGCCACCAACATGCAAATAAACGAGAACGAACCGGACAATTATTCCCTAGCCCCTAGCAAGTGGATTAGCCACGCATTGTCATCTCAACACAAGCATTCACATTAAAACAAGTCATTCTCAACATCATAAACACAATGAAAAAGAAGAACACTTACTAATAATGTACAATCCAATGTCAAATGCAAGTACAAGCCAAATCCAAATGTCAAGAGTCTCCAAATGTTACTTGTTCAAAAACATGAAAAATCCAAAGAAAACTCAAGAGAGAACTCCGAGAATGGGAAGAAAGGTGAAGAGAATGAGGTAGAATGAGGGAGAATCTCTTCTTGGGGGTGTAAAACCGAGTTTACAAGGTGAATTGGTCGGTCAAAGTAGGTCTCTCCTCGATCACACTCCCCACCATGCGAGAAAAACGAGAAAATCCCACTTGCTGCAAAACAAGTGCTAGCGGCGCTAGGGGCAGAGCTAGCGGCGCTAAGGGATGCTAGCGGCGCTAGGTAGAGAATGCTCGAAGCTGCAGAACCCCGCTAGCTGGCTTCCCTTAGCGGCGCTAGGGTCTATACACCCCCAAAAACCTCCCTTTCTTTCTTTGCTTGATCTCGACTGGCATTTCTCGGGTTCTGCCCGAACTGAAACTCGACTCTCGAACGTTTGGTCACATGAAACGGCATAGAACTTCTCAGAACCGGAACGGAATCGTCAAAAACCTGTAACCACCACAACCGGAAAAACACGGAAAACAAAAAAAATAGGAAGAAAAATAACAAAAATAACAAACACACCAAAATAACAATGAGAATACAAGAAACGACTAAAG